AAGAATGGAATATAGACTAAGCTTGCTATATTTGGGGAGAACAGGAAGAAGGGAGCAGCTAGAAATATGTTAGAGAACAGAATTAGAATTCAGAGTGGTTTTGACAAAACGGAGAATTTTTTAAAGAAATTTTACAAAGAGAGTATTCAATAGGTGCAAGTGTATTAGACATGGAATCATCAGTTCCCCGGATACAGGAAGGGGAAAAGTAAACAGGATTACAGTTGCACAGGAAAAATGTAGAGTGAATCACAGGCTAAACACGAGTCAACATTGTTACGCTGTTGTAAAAAGGCAAATTGCCATATGAGGGTGTAGGAACGGGAAGATAGTGCGCAAAACAGGCAAAGCAATCATCTTGTTCTGCTAAGCCATAGTGTGACTGCAATTGGAGTTTATCCTTTTTAAAATGTTTTTCACCTGGAACAAGCCAGATTTGGGGCATTGTTCTTCCAGAATGACTTTAAGTGACTGGAGAAATGTAGAGCAGAGATCAGGCTTGATGACCAGTCCTGAAAGGGCAGAACATCAGGCTGCTAATGGGGCTGTTTTGTTTAATGAATAAAAGAACATAATGGAGACAGAGCCTTAAAATTTGCAAAAGGCTGTTAAAGGGAGGGAGCAAACAATCATTTCTCTGGCCCCAGTAAGGACAGATCTTTCACAAACAGACTGAAATTTCAGCAGGGAATACTTAGAGTACACATTAAGAAAATCACCTTTAATGATAAGGGTATTAAAACACTGGGAAATATTGCCTGAGGAGATGGTAAAAGCATCATGCTGGGAAGTCTTTAAGAACAAGATTGAAAAAGTGGTTATGTTATAGCAAAGGAATAGCTGATCCTGTGTTGGGGCACGGAAAGGGAGCAGAAAGGTGATTCTTAAAGTGATTTTCAGCCGTGTGCTTCTTAGCTTTTTTTTCTTCCTTAGATTTCCCTGTTTATAATATTCACCTCACAAGCTCAAACAGAAATAGGGAGAGGCCTAATTTTGATGTCCATGTGTCAAAAAAGAAGGGCGATAGCTGTAAGCTTGAAAGGATTCAGAAAGGAGAACAATCCTGGAAAGGCAATTATACAGTGCAGAATCAAAGTTTAATCCTAGAGCAGGTGAAGGAGTAAAGCTGTATTTTATAAACATCTTCAAAAGGAAGATACTTCTGTTAACAAGAAGCAGGCTTGCAATGGACAGATGCTGCAGCTAGATGGATTTACCTTTTCAAATAAAATTTGTATTTCTATTAGTTATTTTTCACACGGTAGGGTAGCATGGTACATGTTAGGGTAACTGCTGAGAAATCCTCAGAAGTGCAGCGATGCATTCACAATTTCTCCAACTCCCTAAAACAAGATGAAAATGTCTCTCTAAGAAGCAACTTCACAAAGAGCTTGATGTGGGAATGGCTGGAGGAAATTCTACAGCTTTCAATATTCAGGTTAGACAAGATGATCATAATAATCTCTCTTGGCTTTCATATCTGTTTACCCAACTTTGTGGAGAGATGTAATGTTTACAGATCACTGTCAAATCTGCATAAATGGATTAGAAAAAGGCATGAATGAGCAATTACTTGTGTGACCTCTATGAGGTATAATACTTACTATTTACCAGGTCATTATATTACAACTTGTCATTTCTTTCCTCAGTTTTAACAGCATAGATTAATCTCTTTAATGGCATCTGGAGTTCCATGGAGTAATATATTTATATTAGCAGCATTATGTATGACAGCAAATATATACTATATACTACGGTATATACATACTATAAGCTACATATATGGTTATATATATGACAGCACTAGTTTTCCTCCTTTTGTTCTAAAGGGATGTGTGGGGCAGTGTTTCTGTTCTCCAGTGGGTCAAATCTGTAGTCAGTCACTGTCAGCTTTGTTCTGGAGTCACTGAAGGGGTAGGTGATGGTTACCACATGGTCACTGCACATCAGCTGGGAAAACCACCCACAATAGATTCAACAAAGTGCTGCACACAGGAAGCCCTTCACTGACAATATTATCCAGGGCTCCTGCAGATCACAAGGGTCCTGGGTGCCACTCTTGGCAACAGCAGGATTTGTGTACACGGATGCCTGTGGATGAACCCACATACACCATCCCTCAGGCTCCTGCCGTCACAGAGTTTAGTCTGGTTGTGCTGTTCTGACAGGTTCCCTAGGACCAAGATCAGCACAAAAACACTGCCGAGCAGATGGTTTAAAACCCTAGATGGGGAGTCTAGGTGATATTTCCAAAGGCACAAAGGTCTTGCAGCTTTTTCTTACGTTAGCAGACATTAGGGTGTTGTCTCTTCTGAAGTTCAGACCCTCTCTTGATATTGATTCACCTTTTTACAGTATTTGTATTTACAGCAGAGGAGAAGATGCAGTCAGCTCCACAACAAAACTTCAGCCCAACTCTGAAGTTTGTCATTTATCTAAATCTAAATTCAGGGTTGTTTATTACAAAATATTCCAGAAAAACATCTCCCTTTATGCACCTCTTAAAGTTAATGGGCTTTTTAGGCATAGGTACCTGCTCAGAGAGAGCATCTGGCAAGGCTTCACCCAGGTATGTGGAGTGCTGGGTGGGGTCTTCAGTATCAACCAAACCTTTCAAAGTAGTGGTTTTATTTGGCACATCTGATGACAGGCTTTTAATGAGAAAATACAAACAAGCTGTCATGAAGGAAAAACATCATCTTGAAATGGGTGGCAGCGGGTTATACTCTTTTTTTTTTTTTTAATGTGATGCCAACTTTACTTTTCATGGAGGATGGACAAGCAAGCTCTTTCTGCATCAGGTATTAACAGAAAACCACTCAGTCACCAGCAACAACTTTGGAGGTAATTAGAGAAAAGAGTGGCACCAAAGGCTCTCATTGTTCCCCAGGCAGATGCCGTGTGATGATTTAAAGAAGCTAGAGGAAAGAGTCAGAAATGAGCTGTTTATTCATGTACTGAGATATTACAGCCTACTAATATAACTTGGGCAGCTCTCACTTCTGGAAAAACAGTGAGGGAAATGACATTTCTTTGCCATAATGCTTTTTATGGTGCTCAAGTTCTTTGAGGTTTTATGAAAGATAATTTATTTTCCCACTAATGTCCCACTTTAGGTCTGGTTTGGCAAAACTGAGCAACTGATTCTCCCTTCTGTTTTCTCTCTCATTATTTTCCCTCTGCTTTCCATTAAGATTTCATCTGCACTTGGCTTTCGCAACCGAACTCCAAACAATCCCAGCAGAATGGGAAAAAAGACATCTCCTGGCCCTTTCCAAAAGGAAGAAGAGCCCCTGTTCAGAGGTGCCTTAGGTAGACAGATGGTTTGGTAAGATGTGTTCTGGCATTTTTGTTGGGAAACCAGGGCTGATTTGCATGACTGAGCTGTGGCTGCAATGCCTGCCCGCACACCATCTCCCGCGGCAGCTGTGTCCTGTTTCTGTCCAGTTCCACGGCGGTGCCGGAAAGCCACTGCCCGGGGGGTCGGGCTGCTGGGGAAAAAGAAACTTCCCCAAGAAAAGGACTTTCACAGGTTTTCCCCATCCACTTCTGAGGAAAATCTGGTCTCTTTTGTACAGATGACCTGAAAAACCTTGCTGTTGCCCCACACCCCACAGTGAGCCTGGTGGGTGAGGAAGCCCCAGCCCACCTGAGGGGTGGCAGGGGACAGTCCTACAGTGTCCCAGCTGTAGGTGCGTTTTATCCCACACTCCTAACAGGGGTTTCCCAAAGGGGAGCACGTAAATAACGTTGAGCCCTCTGCACCATGGCCATGGGCTTGGCGTGGCAACACTTTGCGGGCACCACCATGGTTGTCCCCTGCAACGCAGGACGCAGCCGAGGCTCCTGGCCACAATCTGAGGGGCCCGGCTGCCTGCCCCACAGGCACGGGGCTGCTCCCTCTCCTTCCACACACAGCCCGCCATGACTGCCCACAGGCCGCCATGTTGCAGGTGCTGACGGTAGGGTTTCTGCCCTGCATATGAGCACTGTGAGAAATCACGAAGCCTTTCAGTTTCATGACTGTTTATTGAATATTATTTGACTGTATTAACATTTATTTATGAGTGTGATTCATGTCTCGACTGCTGCTGTCGCCTCTGCCATGGAGCCCCTTTAAGGGGGCGGGCTCCCCTCGATCTCTCCGCGCTCCATCGACTCCCTCGGGCCGCGGCTGCCGCTGCCTGCGAGCGCCGGCCGCCGAGGCGCTGCTGGGAGCGGCGCGGCCCCAGGTGCCGGCTACAAAGGCGGCGGCGGCGGCGACGGTGGCCGGTGAGTGACACGGCGCGGCCTCGCGCTCCGCTCTGCCCCGCTCCGCGCTTGCGCGGGGCCGGCTCCCGCCGGGGCAGCCCCGGCTCCTGCCCCCCCCCCCCCCGCTCCCCCCCCGGCCGCCATCTTAGGCCGCTCCCTGCCCCGCCGGGGGCTGCGGGGCTGGGGCAGGGGCAGGGGCAGGGGCAGGGGCGCCAGGCGCCGTCCTCCCTTCTCTCTCCAGTAGCTTAACTGGGAGCCTGGGAGGGAGCTTGCACGGGCAAGGGGTGTCCCAGTGCCAGCGGGGAGCCTGGTGTCTTGCCCTGTTTCACAGCTTGGCTAATTAAACTATTAATTTTTGCTGCTCTCGGCTTGCTTCCTTCTTTGTTATGTTCGCAGCTTCAAGCCTTGTGCTCAAAAGCATTGAGTGGAAAGCCAGAGAGTATTAAGTCATTTAGCTCTGGCAGAACATCAGATGAAACCTAAATTATTAATACCCGTTCTTTATTACTTAAAATTGTAATCTCACTTTTACTTTCCATCGCTCCTTTTCTGATCATTCTCAAAACAAGAAGACACTTACTTTTGCTCCTTTAACGAGTTGCATGCATTTCACTGCCACAAACTGTCAAAAGCAATAAATAAATTTGTCAAACCAGTAAAAGAGCCTATTTATTTTGTTTCTTTCCGTGTTTCTTTCCTTGTTTCTTTCCGTGTTTCCTTTCTTTCCTTGTTTCTCTTTCTTTTCCAAACTGCAAACCAACAAGCTTGTCACTTAAATCAGGTCTGACTCCTTGCACCGTCTTCTGGCCACCTGAAGCTGAGCTCTGTAATTTTTAGCTCCCTGTTGCGGTGGCGTCTGTCACAGCTTGCCCTGACCCAGCACGAAGCAGCCAAAGGCAGGCCCTGCTGCTGCTTTTCCTTCCCGTGGATAGCTTAGTTTACGGTTTGTGTGATTTATGCCCACCCTCGGACAACAATATTTTTACTTAGATGGGGTTTCTGGTGTCTTAAACGTCATGTTAAACGTTTTGGATGCAGTGATTTTCATCGTACTGGTGTGATTTATCTCTGTGAAAACGCTAATTTACATTTTAGTGGTAAGGCTTTTTTCATTGTGGAAAGCCTAACTTTTCTTAATATATGTCAGAGGTGAAAATGATTAATTATTTAACTGTTTAAAAGCATGTTAGTGATCAAACTTGTGCTTTTTTGTTGTTGTTGTTAACATAATATAAAGTTTCCTTGTGTTTTCATGGCCTTGGTTCAATAAGTTACATTTTTTTAGGCCCAATAATTCTTCTAATGCTGTATTTGCTTTGTCAGAAATTAGTGCTGAATAACAGTCCTACGTTAATGAGCATTTTTAGAATTCAGTGGAAATCCCTTCAGTTGTAGTCATGAACTTAAGGGGGGAAACAAACAAAACACTCAAATTCCTTTTTAATAAAATGTTCGATACCTTGCCTTTTAAGCAGTGGGTGGTGTTGTATGGAGAAGACATTTTATCTTTAGTACAAAAGGTAATGCTCACCGAGTGTTTTTGGATTGTACAGTATGTGAATCTTACTGTGTTGAGTTGTAGGTTTTCCTGTGAATACAAGCAGCATTTTTTTCTGCTAGCCGTTGAGAGCATTAGAGGCAAAAACAGATAATAAAGATGTTAAAATATATAATTCACTAGTATTTTTCCCAGAGTCCCGTTAAAAAGGAACTGTATCCACTGATACAGTCCGTCACTATTACGCTGCTCCTCACAGTGGAGCCGCACTAAAGGGGAATAAGTGGGGAGAGTAGAAAAGCCTCTGTTAGCGATGAAAACTTGAGATATGTTACGTTAGACTGTACTTAACTTTCTGTCAGCTACTGATATGGTTAGCTGTAAATCCAGTAGGTCTCAAGCACCGTACTTGAAAGTAATCATCACACGTGAGTTACTTTAATTCTGTTCTTCTGGGCGTTTCTACTTCACCCCGAATCCACCTGAGGGAGGGGGAAAGCAGGGTAGGGAATGCTACCTTGATAGGATGGTGACAGAAGGCTGAATATAGAAGGTGGTTTTGAAAACATGGGTTTGGACAGCTACCGAAAGAAGATGTGATGTGAAGTATAGTTTAGTACTCCAGGACAAAATGGGCCTCTGAAGCCCGGACGGGCTCTACCTGTGTGTATTCTGAACAGCTGTGCATTACTTTAATTATGCAAATAAACATCTTCAACAAAAGTAATCAATAGTCCTTCAGTTCAAATTCAAGGAAGCTGAAAACAATGCTCCCAAGACTACGTGCTACAGTGGATTTAGCTTCAGTATGAGTGGAATCTGCTGCTGTACTTACACGTAGGCTGAAGGTTTGAAATCTGAAAAGAGCTAAATGAATATCTTTTAGCAGAAGTCAGACACTAGTGCTTCAGCTTAACCTTTTGTCTTAGACCACCTACTTTCTATAAATTTGTATTATGCAGAATTGTCTTTCAGATTACTTTTCCCAAGGGAGGGAAATGGTGCCTGGTAACGGGGAAATTTTGTTTGTAAAGGTGCTTGTAGGATGAGGGGTGATTAGGCAGGGCAGCCACCTCAGATCGGTGTTTCATCTTTTGTACGGAACACAAAGATTAAAGTCTACGTTCACAACTTGCAAAGGATCAATTTAAACATAAAGCTGATAAAAGAATATTTTGTACCTTGACCTGAAAATGATTTTTAAGCGACAAAATTCCTGACAGTATTTCACTTCAAAAGCTGTTGGACTGATGCTTATCCTCCCAGTGTCACAAGTTGGGAGGGTGGGGGGAGCCTCATTTTTGTGATCTTCTGAAAAAAAAACAAAAACAAACAAACCTGAGGCAGTTTTCGCAGAAATTGAGTAGTAAGATAAGTGTCTGAAAATGAGAATTAATTGTGTGATTGGTAAGTTGTGTTTTTTGATTAGGGAAAGGTAAGCTAGGTATTTCATAATTAAAACAAAACTAAATCAAATGTCTCCTCTCCCCTCATGTTCTGTGCATGTGACGGTACCCTTTTTATGTTGTTTCAGAAGCATTTAGTGCTTTTTCTTCAGAAGGAAATTGACTTGTAGCTTTTTTTTGACACCAGTTGTTAATCAGTGCAGACGCTATGTTCAGTATTTTCAGTAGCAAATACTCTGATTGCACTCAGCGATGGGTGTGAAAGCCTGTGTTTCCTTTCTGTATTTGTTTGTTTTATTTTTAAGGAAAACAGTTCGGAGACACCAAGCCCCTCAAGGTCTGTTTTTCCCTTGACCATAAGGCAACAACAGACTGCTGAATTTTCGGTCAAATTTTCAAAGGCAGACCTGCAGCTATATTATGCGGAAGCCAGTGGAAACTGTCAGCGTAAAAGTGCCTGTGGATTAGATGACAATATAAATCAGTGATTTTTAGGTTACGTTCTGTATTTTATCTTTTACTCTATGAGTATGCCAAAGGTACCCTTTACTCAGGAGTTCCCGTAAGGCATCTAAAAGTCTTTAGGAGTTTGAGAGTTAGGATTATGCTGAGCAAGAGTGCCTTTTAAATGGCAACTTTTTTATTGGAGTCAAACTGAATTTTTAAGCTAATCCTAAAACCTCTCAGTTAAAAAAAGAGATGGCTTTAAATGTTGTGTTTTCAAATTCTGAGAGCACGGTGGCACTTTGAACATCACTGTGTTTTTGACGCATATGCGTTGCTTCTTGCTGGGAAACTGAACATTACTATTTTGGCAAAGAGTTAAGGGGTTACATCGAAAGACGACGTGTTTTTCTCCTGTTTCCTTTTCATCAGCATGGAAGGCAGCGGAGCTCCTGTTTCCCGCAAAATAACTTCACTGCTCCGAGAGCATTCTAGTGCCATACAGGAGACGGGATTTTAGGTGGAGGAGTGGAAATGGAGATTGAGAGTACGTGAGGTAGAAGCAGGCTGAAATATGTAATAAAATACCTGTGCATGCAGGCTCTCAGACAGGTACATGTGTTCGACCGTGTGAGTAGAGAAGGATGCAGATGGCTTGGGTACTCTGCTGAGCAGGGACAGAGCAGGATGTCTGGAGACAACATGAAAAATAGGGGAACCTCAGAAACAGAAGCATACATCCCATCATCTTTTAAATATTTTTTGAAGCAAAAGAAACTGCCAAAAAAAAGTCACACGGCAAATGTCAAATTTACTGTAGCAGTCCTAACTATAAGAGCACAAGGTAAATCTTCAGTGATGTGAACTGTGTAATTACAGTGGTTATATAGTGTTTTTATAAAGAATATTGTGTATAGTTACAGGGCTTAGGAAAAATCTGTGGTGTCTTGTTTCTTTTCTCTATTAAAAAAAATAAATCCCATCCCATTGGGATTTATTTAGTTTATTTTTTTGAACTTCTGAATCTTTTTGAATGCATTTGAGTAAACATATTTGAAAGTTTCTGATTCTGGCAGCATTGATTTCTAATTTCTGCCTATGAATAACGTAAGATAGATGATGAAGGTATTCAGATTCTTTACCATTCTTCTGATAACTAAAATAATGCTCAGAAAATTATGAATAACTTTAGAAGCTCAGAAGAAAAGAGGGATGAATGGTTTAGCTTGAAGACAGTAAGGGGAATGACTTATATATGAAGCAAACTTACTGGATTTTGGAGGTAGAAGCAGATGTAGGGAAACATGTGCTTTGAGAATTTAGAAATGAATGGGAGATTTATGGCCATCTGTGATATGGTTTTGTGTAAAGCTGAGTTGACTTTTTTCTCTATACATGTTTATATATATATATGTTTAAGGCTTTTCTTCACAACGTTGCTAGATTATAGTGATGTGTCACATAATAAATACAGAAGCTTTTAACAAGTAGATGTCTTAAATTCTGGGGAGTTGTAATGCAATTTATAACGAAAAGAGCGGAAATTTTGGGGAGAAACATCTGTGTTCGGGCTTTCTTGAATTACATTTTCTTCTGAGCTACTGCTCTTCTCTAGCCAGCTTAGCATGACCGGAAGAGCAGACATTCAGAAAATTTAAATTGGTTTGACTTGAGACTTGGTAATGCATAGGTGCTGTAACTGGCTCTAACAGCAAAAGTATTCATTCAGGAACTGGCATGAAACAGCATGTAGCATGTACTTAATAAATCGGAGGGATAATTTGTTTTCAGCATGAAATTATAGAACTGTAAAGCTAATTGTTTTTGGAAATGTATTTCATAAGGTGACATTCTGAGGATTTTTTTCTTAAGGTTTTCTGCAATGAAAATGTCCGAATCCAGGTTAATAGGGCTAGTATTGACGTTTGGATTATTGTAGATTTTGCTGATTTTGTTTAATAGTGGCACGTGGAGATTGTTGTCGTTTAAGTAAATAGATTATTTTTTTGGAAAGAGGTGAAAATGTGGCTGTGGGTTCTGAGCTGTTAGAATATGTAAGTGGATTAAATTAAATATGTGTGGTGGTGAGTTTTGTGGATTAGATACGTGCATTTGTGGTGGCAGAGTGAAGGGAAAGGAAACGTTTCATCTTTAAAGAGTAGTGTTCATGTGGCTAATTCAGCTTTTTCTGTTTCAACAGGCAATATAAATGACCAATTAAATGATTTTCTGAACTAAAAGGAACGAGGGAATCCCCTCCCCAAGACTACCGTTTTAGAAGCCTCTGTTCATCGTAATATAGGCTAATCTTCTTTTAAAACTATTTTTAGAATTCAATATTGTTCCTTCTTGGTGACGGATCATAAGCTGAGTGTTTCATGTAGGCTCAATCATTTCTCTCAGGTTGTTTATGGGATAGGATCCTAATGAACAAAATTTCGTTTTGAGATGTCTGTGGAAAAATTCAGCATTTTGACATCGTAACCATCATATTGTTAAGTGACCTTTGTGGGGAGTCCCTCCCTGAATAAATAGCCTATCACAATTCCTGAATTAAAAATACAGCAGTGTATAGGTGTGCTGGGTGTCGTAACTGATACGATGCTGTCATTTAATAGGTGCAGTGAAATGGATTTATACAGGTCTCGATTTTTTTTTTTTTGACACGTGATAGATAGAAGGTTAATTGATGTTAAATGGATGCTTTGTTAGACCTTTATCAGCTCCTAAACCAGTACAGGAGGAGTGC